GTATAACCCAAAATAATATAAATAATTAATGTAAGTACTGAAATTGAAACAACAAATGGTACAAAATAACCAGCAACTTTATCAGCTAATTGTTGAATTGGTGCTTTAGATGTTTGTGCATCTTCAACTAATCGTATAATTTGTTTTAATGCTGTTTCTTGACCAACATGTGTTGCACGCATTATAATTGAACCATCAAGATTTTTTGTACCACCAACAACTTGTGCACCAATAGTTTTATCAACTGGCATGGATTCTCCTGTTATTAAAGATTCATCACAAGATGTTACACCATTAATAATTCGACCATCTGTTGGTATTGTTTCACCTGGTTGAACTTTAAGTAGATCATTACGTTGTATAAGTTGAGCAAGAACTATTTTTTCTTCAATAATTTTTCCTGTACTATCTAATTTAACTAATGTACCTTGTGGTGGTTGAAGTGATAAAAGTTTTTTTAATGCATCTGATGTTTTAGCCTAAATTAAAATAACTAAACTTCATAAATTATTTTTTTGTTTTTTGTTTATTTTTACTTTAGCAGTATGTTCAAGCCATCGTCCCAAACCAACAAACATAAAAAGCACTAAATAAAACAAAAAAAAAGTAATCAATCACACAAAAAGAATAGATTGTATATGTCTTAACTTACTAGGCGAAACATCAAAGAATGCCATAGGACTAGGTACTTTCATGATCATATTTACTATAACAACAATAATTGAATAAATATAAGCAATTGTTGTTGCTAATACAACAAGAACATCCATATTAGCTGTTTTATGTTTTAATGATTTGAATGCTTGAACATAAAAATATCGACCACTAATGATCTATGAAAGAAAATTTTAAATTTGATAAAATACGCATATTCAAAAAAAACCAGTATAAATTAAAAACATTCTTACTTGAACAGGTGTAGCCAACAAAAACATAATTAAATTTTCAACAGATAAACCAGCTGTAATATGTGGAGCTTTTGTATGATCCTTATATTTAAACATAAAAACAAGCATAATAATCATGGCTGGAATACCAAAGATTGCAGCAATAAGAAATGAATCTCTCCATCTATTTACATATGAAATGAAATATAATCATTCAATTTGAATTTATTTTCTCAACTCACCGACGTGTTATACGTCGATGCATACGTGCTAGATTTTCAGATTTTAAATTCTCAGTTAAAACTGTCGCTGGAAAACCAAGATCATCCTAGATAAGAGAAGAAGAAAAACCATTTAAATTTCTGTTAGGAATATTGTATTTTATATTTAACTGTGATATGATGAAGAATATCTCTTGGTCCAATTATACTGGAATCATATTGAAATCTTCCACGATTTGTAAGTAATGCAATATCGACCGATGTAATACCAGGTATTTTATTCATATGATTTTGAATTTTATTCACACATGATGCACATGTCATACCTTCGATCTTGAATAGAATTTCAAGAAAAAAAAAACAAAGATATTCTGATTTATACAAATAAATTTATCTTACATTAACATCGAGTACTTCCATTCCACGTGCAACTGTTTCAAGTACTTCAGCTTGAAATCCAAGATTATTAATTAAACCAGCTATTTGTGTCGGTAAAAGATGTGCTGGATCATATTTAACTTCAGCACGTTGTGCTAATAGAGCAACCACTACGGAATGAATACCTATACAAATTTTTTTAATTTTTTGAAACAGATTAAAATAAAGTAACTCAACAATACCTTCAACTTTTGATAAATTTCTTTGTATACTATCAACACATGATGCACATGTCATACCAAGAACAGTAAAATGACATGTTTCTAATTCATTTTCGTCATCACTTAAAGGTAATTGAGAATTTCTGCTTGATCTTTCAGTTGATTTTGGTTGTTTCGATATGACTTCAACTTCAATTGCTACAAAAAAAAGGAAATCAATAATCTGGTTATTTTTATTAAGCATTTAAAAATGAATGATAATAATATTCACTATTTTTATTCGTTGTACGAATTAGATTTGTTTCATTCAATATTTCTGATTTTCGATCATGTACTTTAATTAAAAATCAATATATACATATATTGTTATGTTTTTTTTTTCAAAACGAAAAAACTCTTTATTTGAATACATACTTGAATTATTATCCATGGTTGTTTTAGGTTGTGGAGCACTTGAAACAGCAACTTGGAAACTAAGTTTTTCAATCTCAGCAATAATATCATCAAGTTTAAGTATATTAGGGTCATAAATAATAGTAGCAAGTTTATCAAGAAATGTTAATTGAATATCAATAGCCCCAGGCAGATCAAGTACTGCACCACAAATATTTGATACACATGAATTACAATGCATACCTTCAATGCGTAATTGAGCTTGAACTGATTCAGAATTTATTGATTGTACAGAGTGACCAAGTCGTTGTATTGCTGATAGAAGTGTATATTGGTCAAGTTCGTTGGTATCAAAAGAAATTTCAGCTTGATTATTATCATCAATAAATTTACATGATATAAGACCATCAATACGTTCACATAAACGTTTTGATACATATTCATGATTAGCTTCGTGTACTTCTCCTAAAAGTACTCGAATATGTGATATATGTGATTCTTCCACAGAGGTCAAAGGCATTAAATAATATCTGAAAGATAATATTTCAATAACACAATTAAAACAAACTTTATTGATCTAGTATTAATATGTCATTCAATATTTTTACTACACTTTTTGAAAAAAGATACATTTAGTCTACCTTCTTTACATCAATAGATGTATTCAATACCTGATTATACATACATATGAATATATATACGTCTATAGACTCATATTCGTTGATCCGCGTCATATAATACATACTCATAGAGAAAGTGTTGCTTGAGAAAAGAAAGAACACATTAAAAAACACACTTGCATGATGCATAAATGTGACCCTCTTACGTTTCTTTTTTTTAACATGAAAATAATTTGTTTTGTTTCAGCTTATCTTACTTTCCATGTTTTACACATCTTTGCTTTTCTAATCTTTTTATAATGATGATGACAATATGTTGACATAGAATGCATACCTAGATGATGTTTCTACTTGAAAATAAATGTGAAAAGATCGTTGTTTTTTGTTTTTTTGTTGTCCGGTTTAAAAAAAATTTCATCTCTTCGAGAATCATACAGAAATTTCAAGCAACTTATGAAAAGTTTTTAATTCTAAATACAAGTTTCTGAAATTGCTAAACTTTTCAAAACTTCATTTTTTTTTTTTGAAAATTTGAATATTGCTGTTTATAAGAACAAGTGAAATCTCATCACATTGATTTTCTATGAAATTAGTCACAATTATCATTAGAATATTTTTTAACACTTTTGAAAACAAGATCAAATTGATTTAGCTCATTTACGAAAAAATATATTGCATCAATAGTTATACGCTATTCGTATTGCAAGCATGTGTGAAACTAAAAAACAAAAGTAATTCTTCTTGTTGTATTATATGTATTGGCAAATAAAAGTTTCATGTCATTTTTTGTTGCTTTATTTTATTAGTAAAAAAAAGCAAAAAGAAAACAAATAAAAAGTAAATAACTTTATTGTTGAATATAAATATCAACAATTAGTCATTGGGTTTTTTTTTATCTATATATTTTTATTTGATAAATATTTACATAAAAAAATATTTTCTTTCAAGTTATAATTCTATTCATTTAAACAATCTTTCATCCATTATTTGCACATCATTATATTGTTCGTAGAATTGCCGATGACCGAGAATAACGATGATTCTTTTGTTTTTTTGTTCCGTAGTATTATTGTCTTTCTAATCCATATTCAAATTAAGAATAAATATTATTTTGATGTAAAATAGACAAATACATGATCATGAACATCTATCAAAAGATAATATGTCTTATACTTACCTTTTAGTATTAATACATTCGACGAATATACTGGTACCCTTATTACAAAGTAATACTTCATTCATACACACTTCTATTATCGTGATGAATGATGTATTCACTTGAAGTAAGGGCCTCCAGTGGTATGACTCGTGGGGCCCGTTAGCTTCATCTTTCGATAGAAGAATGCCGGGCTTCCCCACATTTCAATATGTGTTGGAACGTACCACCCGAAGACCGAAGAAGGCATTAGGAAACTATAAAAAAGTCTCCAAACTACGAAGTATTGTTGAAATAACGCGATAACTCTAACAGTGACAAAGTTGCGACACTGAACTGTTAAGAGACAAACGAGAAATTGTAGTTTTGCAATGGTATGCATCGCCTTTTATACTCTCATCGTCGAGTATCGTTATTACACAATCAAGCGGCAATCATTTCATTGCAATTGTGCAATATGCACCCTTTCTTGTTTTTTTTATAAGGGTTACAAGATAAAAACACGAACAGTCAATAAGGGGCGAAAATAATTTCATTTCCACGTCATATTCTTGCTCAATATACAAAACAGAAAAAATAAAATTTACGACTGATACTTATCAAATATTATCTGTTGGTATGTGTTTCTTTTACATTGGTTGATATTAAAACGATACACAAATCAACAATCTAATTATTATTAGAAATACAATATTAAGTATTTTTTTACTTCAATATTTAAGTAACATTCGATTATTAAAAATGCTGAATAGGATTTCGAAATAATTGAAATATGACAAACGAATTTTGCTCAATTGTTTTATACCATTCTAATTATAACATTCAATTGAACATACGAATGAATAGAGGATACTTTGAATATCATAGAAATCTTTATAGAATTTTTCTTATCTTACTGAGTTCTACTAGTGAGTAAAATATCACTTCGATCGTCGATTAACAACTGGATATGTTCCCTTATCAGATAAATGAAACGTGCCAAATTTTTTCACGAAATCTAGTTTTATTCAGTCCATATTCCATAATGATCTAGTAAACGAAAGTTAGCATGTGAATAGCTGCCTAGCTCAAGTTTTTAAACTACATCAGCAAAGCAATAAAAGATCGATCTTTAAGGTCTGAGGTTTCATCATGAAAAGTCTAGAATGTCAACGAAATTTTTGAAAGAATATCATATGAAATCGCATCTAAAACAAGCATGTTTGTCAGATCTGAACCCATATTACTTCTTTCTACCTTTAAAACTCAAATATCAACTACATGGAATGCAGTTCAACGTTGTTGTTAATTGCATTAAAACAAACTATAAACAGCCTCACAAAAGATGATCTCAAAAACAACTTTCGTAATCTGGTTTAATTGAATGCATGGAAAAACGACAATTAGTCGCAGTGTAGAATCAGTCATATAGTCGATAGAAGGGTGATTCTTTTTCACATCCCACAAATCTCAACCTGTACATACGTGATTTAATCGTACATAGTACAGCGCAAGGGTGAGTTCGTTGTGTGAAAAATGAAGACGTACCTCATAGAATGAATAATTAGAGAATCTCGCTGAAAAACAGTAACTGAATGTCGATATTTATCTTTTTTTATTAATCAGAATGTTTAGAAATGACTAAAGCAATATTCATATTGAAATAGCGAAAACTTCAATAGGCGAAAGCTCCAGAATAAATAAAACACACCCATATCTTTGGTAAACATTTGTATCTATACTCATATCTAATGTTCGTTGTCTATGAGCAGATTGTCAGTTATTTTCTTGACTTCTGTAAATTTTTTCCCTGTAATACTAATAACATTGTTTTTGCAATTTGAATTTCCCGCATTACGACGAATTCTATACTGTAGTTATTTGTTGTAGACTCTGAATGTCCAAGTGCATTGTTAATAAGGGATAATACTTTGGAAAACAACTAGATTCGATTCCTCAAAATTGGAATCGGAACCATTTATCAAATATCAAACACCAAGCAACTAATATTAGTTTTTTCAGAAATTTCGATATTTCTTTTTTTGAAATTGTTCATACAAATATTTCATTAATCCTTTGAGGACGGAATTTTGTTTTTCAATTGAAAAGTGGTTCTTGAACACGTTTATGGTGTTTGGCTCAAAATAATCACATAAAAACTATATGATAATACATTAAGAGAAAAGAGGAAGATATTATGATGGCAGTGTATAGCAGCAGAAAGAAAGGAAAACATTTAAGAGGGATCTATATAACAGAATGAAAGAGAGAATACATATGCATGAGATGGAAGATAGAACGATCTATTATCTTACAGATCAAATCTATTGTTCACGATTTCGGGTACACGAAAGTGAAAAATCCAGATTCCAGTTTTCTTGGAACCGCCGAGCTCTAAAAACAACAGTAAAACTAATTGTCGAATAATTGTCTAAAGTGCTGATGAGAAAAACTTTTCAAATGATTCGTTGTATGTTTCACAGATTGAAAAAATTCTATAACCTTTATCCTACTTAATATAAATAATCCTATGAAAAAAAATTTAACAAAAATAAAATAAAATAATCTTAACAAACATCAATTTTCTTATGAGTAAAATTATGTCGTAATTGAATAACATTCCAAGCTTTTCTATATTCCATATATCTTTCCATTTCTGTACCACCACCACCAAGATGAAATGATGATGAACATACAGTTAACATTGGATTATTAACCATTAAACATGAACAATTAGCTGATGGTGTTTGATCAAAATCAATTGCAATACCTGTACATTTTACATTTGCTTCTTTAGCTAAAAATCCTGATATAAATACATCACCTATCCAAGCTGTTTTATGTAATGGATATGTATATGATACATTTACAAGTTGATCACGAATATATTTTGACATAAACCAACCAAAACCAGAACAATATGCTGGAAGTACAGGATGTGGCCAAACTTTTTCACTAACACCAAATTTTCCACCACCACGTAATGTTGGTTGATAATCCATAGCCCAACCACCACGAAAAAATCTTATTCGATCAGATAATATTATATTTGATAGAAGTGTTGGACGATGTTTTGTAATAAAAGAATTATCATTTGAAGTATTTGTTAAAAGTAATTTAACAATAGATGATATTAAAATTGTATCAACAATTAAATCATCATCTGTTTTAAATAAATATGGAATATCATGATAAAAATAATATGACCATTGTAAAGCAGCCATTTCTTTATAAACAACATGTGAATAACTTTCAATATGATCTATTTGAATAATATCTTGATATTTATTTTTTTCATTGTTAACTTGCAAATTAATTTCACCAGCATTATTTATTACACCTGGAATTTGTCCAAGAATAAATACAAAACAGACACCATTCTGTTTTGATGCCCATGTTGAACGTATAACATCTCGTCGTTGAACATTAGTTACTGTCGATAAAATATAAATAATTAAATAATCATTTTTTTGACATATTGCTGTATTTGATGTTAAATCTAATCGACTATCAAGATATACAATTGAAATATTGTTAATTTCTTTTGAAATTTTAGGTAATTTAATATATGGTTTTTCAGGTAATGTAATATTTGGTGGTGTTTCAAGTAATGTAATATTTGGTGGTGTTTCAGGTAATGTAATATTTGGTGGTGTTTCAAGTAATTTAACATGTGGTATTTCATGTAATTTAATACTTGGTGGTGTTGCAGGAAATATTTTACTATAAAATGTTATGTATAAAGAAATAGTAAATAATATTAAAAATATTACAACAGA